GAGTCGCAACCCGTCCCGCATTTTGAACTTGTTCATCTTCTCCTTGTCCTTAGGCAGCCATATGGAAATGCGTTCAGGGTACACAGAGGCAAGTCAAAACGTTGGAAAAAGAGCCCCTTAACAATCAATGAAAGGCATGCCCCCAGGTTGATCAGAGCTTGTCCGCACCGGCCAAGCCCCCTCAGCGTCTTCGATTTGCAAGCCCTATGAAAGCCAAAACCTCCCCACGACAATCTGTGCGTTCCAGGCACAGGAGCTGCTTTGTTCCACACCTCCGCAGTTTGGCGTGAACAAAGCCCAGCCATGTCAACGCCTTGTCCAAACCACTGCCGCGGGAGCCAACCTCAGCGACACTTTTCAGCCGGAAGGGCCGATTCAGCAATACCTTTGACTATTATGGAGCTATCAAATCTATAAGTGCGGCTCCGGGGCTGTCACACAGGCATGCCTGCTACCCTGATGGAGCACTTTACACCCGGTGAGTTGTGAGACAAGCGACATGCCAAGGCGTCGCCTTTGTGGCCCTTGGGGCCGTTGGACCACACAGCATTGACGATCTCCTCAGATAGAATCAAGAGTCTGAGAAGCTGAGTCTTTGCAACGATGCTGCTTGTCATTCGTCTGGAAGATAGAACTTTCGGAGCCCCACTACTTGACGAACTTGACAAACCGCTTGATGCAATCAAGAAGGAACATCGAACGCGCGATGTCAATGAAAATTTGCTAGCCATGAATTTGTTCTTTTTCGTTTCCGTTGTGTCGGTCCAGAACCGCATGAAGCCTTCAGCAGGCATGTGGTTCTTGCAAAGCGTTACCACGCACTCAGCATCATTGCAGAGAGAACGGAGGAAAAAGATGCCAAATATTTTGGCGGTAGTGGTGGTGTGAGCGAACTGCGTCTCCATGAGGTAGTACAGCGCCAAGGTCGCACTGTCAAGGGCAGGTTCCGCAGCGCACATCTGATTGCAATGCACGGCGCCGACGCGCAATGCGTTCCGCAAACGGTGCCCTCAGGGCACTTGCAACACGATGATGAAAGAACTGTGGCCATGAGAGCGACACGTCACGACCGACACCAGCCAAGGCACTCGCTCCACTCTTTGTACTCGCCCGTCTGCAGCATCTTCGGATACTTGTCCAACTTTGGCTGGAAGATCGCCCATTTCCTTTGAACGACTCGACGACGAGCAGGGCCTGACACGGGGTGCAATCAGCTTATCCGTCAAACGAGTTTCGAAACTATTGTGCTGCTGCATCAAGTAGGCCGCCTGACAACGTTAGTTTCAACCTTCAAGCTCCGAAGCTTTGAAGCAACCCCTGCCACCAACCAAGGGCGAACCAAACATGCCCGGCGAATTTGGCCCTGGGGTCGTTTGCCAAGCGCTTCATGGAGAGATGATATGCGCTGTGGACTTGGAAAGGGTCAAAACAAAGCCACAATCTTATCGTACTTACCTGCATCTTCAGGGTGCCCTTTTTCAAAAGCGACCCTGGCAAAATTGGAATGGATTGATTTGCACAGGTCCAGGTTCTCATGCCCCTTCCTCCAACGCATAAAAAATTCCTATGCAGATCTTGCGGGGGCGGTTCCACACATCTGCGTTTTGCCCTCCTTCTCGCCGTTGGCGAGCTTATGCAGATGTCAATCCAAAACATAGCCAACCCATTGTTTTGGATCCCAAAACTGAGGTTGGAAGTGTCACGTTTTGAAAGATTAGGGACTCTTTGCAAGTGCGGCAGTGGTTTCACCACGCCTCATATAGTGTCTGTTCCTCGAGCCTATCATGTCACGATAGCATTGCTTTTTTCCGTCGGCATCCGGCTGGAAACTGGTGTCCAACAAACTTCACACCCATCCTTCGCCAAATTCCCCTCTGGCTTTGGTGACATGTGACAAGCATGGTATGGCTCATCACGCATGCATGATACTTGTTTCCTGCACGGTAACCGTCTCTCAAGACGGACCATGCATGGTAGCTAAAACAGCAAATCAATCGCAAGAATTTCTCCAAGGAATCCTCGAAACCTTCAATGATACCAGCGATGCCCCCGCAGAATCATCAAAATCCGTGGGACAAGGCACGCCAGCGTAGACCACTGTGAAGTCCTTCAAGTTCCTCGCCAGCGGCAGCTTTTTCGCGCATTGCTTGCACGCGCGTGGCTGCCCAGCGCACTCGCGAGCCAAGCCGCAGTCCAGCCAGGCAGTGTGCCTTGAGGGCTCGAGAAAAGCGCAGGGTGGCAAGGTTAACTTATACGACGGTTGAAGTCGCCACTTGAGCTTCGTGCCACGCCCCACGCAAACAATGCCAATCTCGGATGTACTCCTGTAGACACCCGATTTTCCGACTTTACTTTTCAATCCAAGGAACTCATCTTTGCTCAACTTCGCTGAGCTGCCACCCAGCGACTTCCCACAGCGAGCGCAGAAGCGGGAATTCGGCATGGCTCAAGACAAGTGGAGTGTGTGTGGCCATGGCGTGGTCATATTTGTGAGTGTTCCGGTATGCGAAGTGCGAGGCTGTTGGCAGAACCAAATGAGATGAAGTGCCTTCAACATGTGCAATGATTTCAATTTCAAGTGCATGAGAGCGTCGCTGAGCTGCTTCTTTCTACTGGACAAGTCGTGAAAAAGATTCCAACCAAGCCTCAAGACGTTGAAGCGTTTTCAAGGTGATTCTTCATATGCTGGCATGCTCCAACCCCTGGCCCCTGGCAAAGGATAGGGGACTCACGCAAAACGATGCCGCACAACAACGTTCCAAAAGCCAATGCAAATGAACACATGCATTTCCTATAAACGAAAAACAGTAGAAACATGTTTCTGGACAGGTCTGCAGACCAGGCTGCAACGAAAATACTTCACCGCAGCTTCCACCCTCCTGATGTGCTGCCTGATGCGCTGCAAATTCCACCAGTTCCTTGATCTTGGCCAACAAACACTTGGTCATGTCCCCTACCAGGCCACTGCATTCCTGACCATCCTCCGGAACAGCTACACGCTTCACGCAAACAGACTGCGGCAACATAACCACCACTTACCATTTACGGTTCCCTAGCTACTTCCATAAACCGGCCCAGCCTACAGACCGATCCAACGGCCCCTCACGCAGCCTCACATAAATCGTCCGCAGCTCCGAAACTTGCCCTGGATGCAAATCTTCCAGAAGCACACTACCAAGGCATGCCAAGGCGATGGTATGTCGCCATGGCGATACAAACCACTCGTCTCCAAGAGCACCTACTACTACTACTACTACTACTACTACTACTACTAATACTCCCACTACGACGACTACTACTACCCCTGCTACTACTACTACTACTACTACTACTACTACTACTACTACTACTACTACTACCTGCCGCTGCTGCTGCTGCTACTACTACTACTGCTACTGCTACTGCTACTGCTACGTACTACTACTACTACTGCTGCTGCTACTACTACTACTACGACGACTACGACTACGACTGTCGCTATCACTATCACTACCACTATGCCACTACTTCTACTACTTACGACTACCCCTACTGCTACTACTGCAGCCCGTTGCATGTCCAACTAGCAACCATCCAGCACCAAGCGCGGTGTATGTTGTGTCTTTTTGCTACAACTTCATGTCCTGCCGCCGCTTGACATCACAAGCTGTCGCAAAAAAGAGAACCGACGCCAAAAAAACACACGTGGACAGCTTACCGTCGCAAAACACACCGGCCACAGGTTGGAAAAACACCGATGAATGCAACCGTCTGGCAATACACCGGTTACCGTCGCAAAAAAACCCAATCGCCGGTTTTTCAGATGCATTTCGATATAGGTTTTGAGAAACGCCAACACCGCAACACTAAACTTCCCCCAGCCGACCTTCTGAGAGGAACACCGAGAAGAGGAGCGTTTGCGCTTCACAGGAGTGTCCGGAGCCATGGATCAAGCAGATGAGGCAAAGCAAGTGTGTTTGAACTAGAAACTGCAAAAAGATGCAAAGAGAATCATCCCCTGTTAAACACCAGCTGAACGCAAGTTGATGCGACTTACCCCCCTAGCTCCCCCCAAGCTAAACGCAAGATCTTGGATGAGTTGATGCGAGTTCGGGGTTTGGGAGTATTCTGTCCTTTCCGATTGAATCGAAACTATGAACCCCTCGGATCGCCTGATGTTTAGGGGGGAGTTCTTATGCTGACATGAACATTTGTGAATGACCTTTTCAACAGAATACGAAGCAACACAGCAAAGGGTTGCGAGTGAAGCCCAAGCTCAGTGAGCTCAGCTCCCAACCTTCGTAGGATGGACAAAAGACTTTGAGACCCTCATCTAGTGGTCCCAGATAGAAACGGTTTCCAATACAGGGTGATCGACTTTTCTATCTATTTCCGGGTCTCTATACATCTATAGCTTTCTTTCGCCCCGAACTGACTCAGCAAGCACCTACTCAGCTTGGAGGATCCATGTCCAACGTTCTTCCGACGGTTCTGTTGAGCGAGGTTTTCGCGCGGTCGCCGCTGCTCGCTGGAGTTCGGCATGGTGTGGCGGATTTCTTTGGTTCGGGTATACCCAGACACGACGTTCATGGGACTGCCATATTTACATACGTTGACCCCTGCAACCACCCAGCATATATGGCATACATGGCAGTCCCGAGTGTGTGGGATAGGTATGGAAGGTGATTTCTGGCGATTCTTGCCAATAGCCAGCACATGCCAAACAATATCCAACCATATCTTAGAAAAAGAAAAAATACAAATCAAGCAAACCCCCGCCCCAAAAACACCTTTCAACCCTCGCACCTGCCGAAAAAAAAAAAGAACCACCACCTGCCTTGGGGCGACTTCTAAGATCTTATAAGTGTATAGGGGAAAGAAATCCACAATAAGGAAAAGACACCAATATGGCTATAAGCTCGGCTCGGCTTATAAGTGCATAAGGAAAAGACACCAATATGAGCCGAGCTAGCCATAGAGAGATGCCTTCTTTCACTCCCACCAGATCCCGGCCACGTCGCCAGGCTGGCGGACTCGTCGGAGCCACCGCCCAGGACCCAGACCTCGGGCGCGCGTCGTGCGGGGCGAGTCGGCCACGAGTAGTCGATGTGGAGCCAAAAACCCATGGCAACCCGGATGCAAGTGGAAATCAACCTGTGGGATAATATTGGCTCTGCAGGTGGAACATGGAGTATCTAAGTCTTTCTGAGTCCCTCAGTATGTATACCTTCTCAGAAGGACTGGACTCTCCTGGCACCGACTACATAGCCTCGACTACATCACCGTACCTGACCGGATCCCTAAGGCCTCCAAAGGTGGACGGATTCGGTTCAATCTCTTTTCCACCGAGCACGGCACGTGTTTTCAAAACACACACACCTGCTGAATCATAAGCTACTGTAGCTCATCAGCTGCCTGTCTATCTGCTGCATGTGGAGTTCTCCTTGGAGAAGTGAGTGATTCTAGATATGAACAACTCCCAAAACAGCGGCTAATCTGCATCAACTTCACCTCCCCCTCCACCATCCCCCTGACCTCCACCACCTCTGGGCCCCGGGACGCATCCATCCGGCCCGAAGCATGCCGCGCACCCGGCGCGCGCCTGCGCCAGGCGCGGGCCCTGGTGCCAGCCGCGCAGCAAGGCCTCAGCACCGCCCAGGTCGATCCACTCCACGGATTCCTTGGGGGCCGAGTGTCCGGTCCGACGAGGGAGGGCTGGAGGTGGCCGGTTTCGTGGGGTTTGGTTGGTTTTTGTTTGGAAAAAGCCAAACCGAACCAACCAAACCAAGCAACTTGGGAAAACCATGGAAAACCATGTTTGGTTGGCCTCAGTTAGGGGTGAAAACCCATGACCGGGAGCGTCTTAGTATTACGAAGGATCGACCGGTATTCCGAGCGAGCGACTGGGGTGGCAGGTGTGCGCGAAAAAAAGCCATGCACGCAGCGGCTTGGGTGTATTTTTTGGGGGTCTTGAGGGGTCAAAGTTGATTTGTAGACCAAAGGAGCTGGGTAAATAGCATCCAATTTCCCACAACATCTTTGGACTCTTGACTGGGAAGGCACAGTATACAGGCACTGTATGCACCATGGCATTCCCCCTCCACAGCGCCCGTCCTCGTAGAGGTCGTGGCCGGCGTAGCCGCTCACCGCAAAGGCTTGGCTACTCGCTGTGACCTGGCTTGGCTACTAGCAATGGATGAAACGCGAGTAGCACTGATGATGTAACAAAGGGAGGAGGTGATGCAGCTATAATATAGTGTGTTCAGAATAGATGGCATACACACCTAAAGATGTCTTTTATATGGGGTCTATATAAACCACCTTTTGAGGATTGTGCCATCTTCTCTGAAACCACTGTACACTGAGGAGGTAGCATCTTCTGATCTTCTGAGTAGCAGGGGGAATGGACCGGATGAGTCAACGATTGCGTAGAATTCATGTCTGACGATGTGTTTTGGGATTAGGTGGAAACCACTGGGATCAAGTGGGTTTGTAAGGTTGCAAGGTCGGTGCATGTGAGAATCGATCTTCGAATCGTTTTCGAATCGTCTTCTCTGCTCCATCGCATCCTCGTTGCTCCATCGCCCATCCCAGCCCCGAACGGAAGTGGATGGAAAAGCGTCACAGAAGGCCGTAACCTCCGCGCCAACACGTTTTGTGCGAACACGGGCCTAATGAGCAGTGGTGGCTCCTATAGTGACTGCCCTCAGGCTTTGGGGACTCTGATACGTGATACATAACCGAACAAATAACATGTCAAACATGTCAAGTACTTTCTGAACGGATTCAAAATATGTATCAAACAATTAAAGAACACATTAAACACCTCCTCCAGCATCCTCCTGCACATCAAAACAAAGCAAAATCCATCCAAATCCATCCGGATTCCATCCACCATGGTCCATGTTCTTCGCGACACCGTTCTGGGGTGCCCCAACACAAACGCCCGCAGCGCAACGTGGCCTGGATCTGTAGCGTGAGTCGCGCCACTGAATCTCTTGAGGATGTACAAGCACCATACTTTAGTCAACCCACGTATATACTGAAGTCAGCCCCTATATGGAGGGTTTTCCTTTGATGTTTTGAAGCTCTAAAAGTACCTGGACCATCCGACCAAGACCGGATGTCCAGTGGGCTGGACTACCTCCAGCCCGGACACCCAGATGGTCCGATGGTACCTGGTAGATGGGGTTTAGAAATGTTTGGCAGCCTCAAATCTGGTGTCCACTTATTCTGCTTTTGCCTTCTGCCAGTTCAGAAGCGTCGATCGGCGGATCGAGTATCGATTATATATGATAGACTTATTGACTCTTTGTCCAGCAAACACCAAAAATGGATGTGGGTCAAAACCTGGAGCATCAACACATATCGAAACCCTGGTTGCTTGACCTGTTTCACAGGCCTGAAACAGGTAGTCCCTTCTGTTCATGTTCATGGGTCTGTTCACGGGTTCAACCAACATCTTGCAGTTTTAGACCCACAAAAGCCGGAGTAAACATCAAAACGGCACCCGAGGAGGTCGACCCCCGGAATCAGGTCAACACCTGTCGACTGTCCCGGTTGGATCAGGCGCTTTTCTCGTCAGTGTGGGAGGGTACCACGCAAATGAACCGTGAAAATGGAGTGTTCAAAAAGCAAAGCAAGTCTCTGGTGGAGGCCATTGAGGTCGCTAATCGAGTCAACATCCATACACAAACAAGTTGTATTGGTTCTATATTTTTTTCATGTATCAAAATAGCATCAGAGCAAAAGACTTCCAAAGAGCTACCAAATTGTCTCGTCCCCAACCGTTCTCTGAACCTCACCTTCACCATACCGAACCCACGTGTCTCACCGCACCACGCAGAAACGTGTCTCTGGGCCCCGACTTTTGCAAGGCAGGGCCCGGTCGCCACTGGCCGTGACCGACCGACATGACGGACACCGAACGACGACGACCGGACGATGGATGCTTTGTCTACGGAATCGCCTCCCGACTGGTCTTTATTGGGTCTTCCAAAAGCGAACGGCCGGCCGATGGTGGTGCGAACGGAAGCGACGTGGCAGGCACCAAGGGTGCGACTCGCGCGGTCGCAATGAACATCATGTGCGAGACATCCGCCAATGTCGTAGGGACCGCAGGATATTTCAAAAGTATATCATGACCCCAGGGTCCAATAATTGAACTTTGTAGTTATTGCAATGGTTACCAATGGTGTTTCCTGCAAATCCAAAAGCTGAAGCTACAAGTATCTTTGGTGCTGCTCTTGACACACACACAAGCCTCATGCCCATCAGATCCCATCAGTTTCTATAAATGCGCATGGGGATGAGGAAAACCAATAGAATTTGGAATCTGTTCACTGGGTTCCCAGCCTGAATTACTATCCCAGCACTGCAACTGAAGTCTTTATGGTATAGTTTCTGCTCCTCGAATGAGGGACAAGGATGTCCCAAAGCAATCTAAAAATAACAAACTATTTATAATTGCCAGCTTAACCGTATCAACCCGAAATTGTACATTTATTTAAAAAAAGTTTTTTCCCCAAACAGTTTACTGTTAGGGGTTCTCAATGCTTTAAAGAATGGTCACCTTGGTGCTGGATGGTCTCCCACATTGGTTCAGGACTCACCAAGTCTCGAGCCTCTTCCACCTTTCCAGCAAAGGATTTGCTGAAAGCAATGACTTCCTTGGCATCTTGATCACCATCTGCTACCTCTGGGAATGCGACGTTCACCTGAGCTCCAACCATGGCTGCCAATCTCTTCGAAGGAACAATTCTGCCACCAGCTACTCTTTGCTCAAATTGGCCACCCTTCTCGCAGACCGGCTCAACAACACTCGGTTCCCATCGCCAATGATCCAGTTGTCTTGGAGGTCAGTCTTCCCCAAACAAATGCCAACTTTCCATCGGGGATCGGCCTTGAAGCCTTGCTTGGGCTTGGTGTAAGCGGCACACTTCACCATAAGGACTGATCTTGCCCTCATAGGTCTTGCCCTGCGCCAGTTCATAGCTTGTGGTTCTGGTATCTGTTGATCAACCAGGCACTGTGGCGACAAGCCCAACTCCATAGTGGATGCTGAGAGCTAAACCTCAGTCCAATCCTCCCTGCCAGGTCTTCCATGAGTGTAGCTGCCAAACTTCGGACTCGTTGAATAGCATTCTCCACCAAACTGTTGCCTGCAGAGTCGTAGATTCTGGTCGTCCTTGAAGTTGTCTTCAAACCTGCAGCTGTTCGAGAAGCTACCAAGAGTCCTAACATCTGGCGGGTTGTCGGCTCATTGTCGGCATAGTACACCACATGCTCATGTCCAAGGACTTGTGTGAAAGCCATGAGCTCATGTGTAATCAGCGACATCTGATTCTTTGTCTTCAGCGGCAGCAGGGCCATCAAAGACCCCGTTGCTGAGCCACCAGCAAGAGAGCTCCTCCTTCCTCGGCAACTCCATGCTCCCCCAGGGCACCAGACCCTGTGGCTCGAACTCGGCAGAAATCAAAAGAATTTGTCGGAACACCCTGCTCATGGGATTTCCCCGTTCTGCGATGCTGATCTTGCTTGGCCCTATGTTTGGTGCATGAAGGACACCATGCTGCATAGGGAAGATGCGTCAGGTAGTGTCTTACCTTTGCCATGACTTGTTCAACAGGGATCCTCTCATCAAACGCTTGTCCTTGCGCAGCCAAGTCCTTGGCCAATAACAACTCCAACTTCTTCTGATGCTCCAAAAGACGTGCAAAACATTTGGCCTTTCCACCACTTTGGCCAATGTTGTAAAAGGCACAAGCTGCTCGAAGATTCCTCAATGGGGATTCTGCATTGAGCTCTACGCCATTCACCTTGATGTTCTCAGGCAGTGAAGCTCCCACTTCATAGTGTGCTCTCTGGTCGTCCAAATCCACTCCCAGGTGCTCATCTCCACCAGGGGTTTCAACTCCATCGAACTCCGTGAAGTCCTCGTCTGCGATGGCCTTCGAGCTCCTCGAGATCCTCTTCACTTGGCTTGGGAATGCCGTAGTCATCCTCAATCTTGAAGCCAAACACCTCAGGATCGTTTCCATCTTCAGCCACAAAAGTCAAGACCTTGCTTCGTTCGTGGCCTTTCAACTCTTCAATCTCCTCCTCGTCTTGAAGCCTCATCAAAGGCTCAGCCATTTCAACCAGCTCCCAACGCTCACCCTTCTGCACCAAAGTAGATCGACACATCTTTTCACTCTGAGCGCGCAGCTCCGGAATGAACTGGGGGCTCTGGTAGTTGTTGCTTAAATGAACTCCAATCCAGAACCCATTCTGCTTCTTCCATCCAAAGCCACTCTCGACCATGGATTTCAGCTCATCACCAAGCTGGACCGCCAACGCGCGAATCTTGTTGGCCTCGAGGACAGTTCGAATGTACCCCTTCACAACCAAGCTTCGATTCTGAAACATCAGCGGCACCTCCACCTGCCCGTTTCTCAGGCGTTCACCAACTCCATCAATCGACCATCCAGCCTTCATCAGCCGCCCAAAGGAAATGATGGGCTGGCTCGCAACGTCACTGAAAGTGACTCGTTCACGAAGGACAACCTTTCTGCCATCACTGCTGTCAAGGACAATGTCGATGTCCTTGTGTCCATAAGTCTGAATTCGCGTCCCTTGGGCATCTTGAAGAGGAGGTGAGGCTCCCGTAGCCTGCTTGCCCTTCTTGTGCGTCATGCTACCTGGAAACAGTGAAGCATCAGCCCCTGAATCGACATGGGCTCCTCATTCATACCATACTCCGACATCTCCTCTTCGGCCAATTCTGGCAACCTTTCTCTCACAGTGTTCACCATGCACACTTCCATC